AATCGTCTTTTTTTATATTTCAAAAAATTCTCTTTCAGGATCGTCTCCTTATATGACCTACTTTCGAGAAAAATGAACAAGGTCTTATAGATTATTGACTAAAGTATTACTAATAATTCATTTTACTGATAATAAAACTACCAAAAATGTCATATTATATTGAAAATTTGACATTTTTAAAAATTTATAGCTCGGAAACCACTTCAATACCCAAGGAAAAGTTTTGATGGTTTGTTTGAGAATAGAATAAAGTATAATCCCTGAAATTTTCAAAGGATTTCGGATCGATAGAAAAAAGTTGTAGGTATCTGAAAACATTGATTTTTCAAAAATCAATTGTCTTTGAATGGCCATACATTAGAGAAATCGAAGCAATCAAGTAAAAAATGGGTAAATTCCAAAAGAGTATACCTTAACGAAAAATATCATCTGTCATTTATCCCACTGCTTCAAAAACTGTAGATTTGAGAGCACTTTAAAAATTGGCAAAATTTATCTTAAGCAGTGTTTTATTTGGAGGCTTACAGCTTAGCCGGATTTGAGTTTAAACTCAAAACCTATTTTTTTCTTGAAAATAGAGGGATAACAGAGAAAAATGCCGTCTTGATGAAATCTCTAAGTTAAATAGGAGCTGAGATACGAATTTTTGAAAATGACTAAAAAATCGACTTTTTTTATATTTCAAAAAAATTTTTTGCAGCCGGAATTACCTATATCGAGCTCAAATTTTCAGGATCGTCTCCTTATATGACCTACTTTCGAGAAAAAAATCGGCAGCCAAATCGGTGACTTACCCCCGCACACTTTTGTCGAAAAGTAATGGATCTGCACATATATATATATATATATATATATATATATAATATATTATATATATATATATATATATATATATTTATATAGAATGAGTTATTTTAGAAAAACTAAAGACAAAAGTAAAAAAATATATATTCGAGTATTTGCGTCAAAGCAACATGACATTTTTTTTTTCAAATGACCAAATTAGTTTTAAATTAATATATATTTATTATTTTTATGTTTTTAATTAATTTTAAGGCGACAGATTTAAAAAAAACTCGGAAAATAAAGACAAAAGTTTAAAAAAATGAGCTCTAATACACATTTTTTGACATAAAATCAAGTGTAGCCAAGTTTCTCAACATTTCCCGTCAAAATCCTTAATAACGACCATTATTCTTATATTAACAAACACTTCCACACACAAAAGAAATTGGGGCAACCTGGGGCACCATTACTATTTGCAAAAAGTTTGCTTGAATGCACGTTAAAAAAATGACAATATTTGGACAGCTATTACTATATATAAAATAAAATATTTTTTTAATTTTTAACGTTATACCTTAAAAGACATTTTTTTTAAAGCAATCTACCAAATATAACTCCTGTTAATTAGAATTTATAGTTTTAATCGCATATTTACCAAGCGCGAGTTATTTGTATAAAAAAATGTGTTTGTGCATTGTTTTAAAACTTTATACGTCACGGTCCTTATTAATATTTTATAAATAAACAAATGGTTGTACATTGTCAAGAAAAGCATAAGGATCATTTTTTTGTATATTTTTTTGCTGTAAGGGCAACTTCAGAAATCGACTTTTGGTCACCTATACAGGTCAAATACGACACAGTGCGCCGTGCGTTAGTCCTGCAAAAACTCGGAAATGGCCAACCGATTTAAATAATATTTTTTTGTTTTGTTCGCCTCAATACAGGGGTGATTTGAATAAAAAATACATTAGGAAAAACCAGAAAATCAAAATTCAAACTACTGTGACTTAAAATCTGGCAGTGCAAGTTGCACTGTGCAACTTAAAATCTGGCACTGTGTCCAAGTAGGATTGTTCCTGCACATGTGTCACCGGGTCGGGCTTTGTCTGCTGAAAATTACCTTGCGTCGATTGTGTGCCCCACTGTGCGAAGCAATTCTTTAGTCTTGAGGCCGAAAACCATCAATAGATAGTTTAGTAGTCGGATGTGTAACATGTAGCTTTTGAGTTTTTTTTAATGTTTATTACCGCAGTAGTGCGAAATCGCCCCAATCTTAGGTATCAATTATTGGCTAAAATTTCTGAAATTTGGCAATATTCTTTAAACCAAATTAACAACAGTAAAACTAACTTTGTTGGATATTTTTAGAAATGTCCAACAAAGCGAATGAAACTATTAATAAAATATCTTTTAAATTTTGAAATAAATTTTAGTTTTAGAAATGTCCAACAAAGCGAATTAAACTATTAATAAAAGACCTTTTAAATTTTAAAATAAATTTTACTTTTACTGTTGTTAATTGCCAAAATTTGGATTAAAGAATATTACCAAATTTCACAAATATTGGCCAATAATTGATACCTAATATTGGGGCGATTTCATGATTACTAATGGGACAAAAAAAGAAGACAAAATGTTTTATGAAAATTTTTGAAGATATGTTCTTCCTATAACAATAATTTTATGATAGTTATTATTACTTACTTTTATTGCTGAGAACTATCATAAAATTATTATTAAAGGAACAACAGATCATCAAAAATCTTCATAAAACATTTTGTTTTCTTTCTGTTGGTCCCGTTAGTAATCATGGAATCGCCCATGGGCCAATGTTTGCATAATTCTGTTTAAAATGTTTTCTCAATTTTTGGCCAATTTTAGCCTAATTTTTGTTTACTGGGCATCACTTAAGTCAGGAAATAATCCTATCACTTATAATTCTGTGGGTAAAAGTCATAAGGGGATAAGTCAAAAAATCAATTTATCAGTAGCGAGGGGTAAACCACTTTAAAATCAGCGAGACCAACGTTCAACGTTATGTGGACGTTGTGTTCTGATTTTTTCCTTATCAGTCGTTATCAATAAGGAAACATCCTTATCAATAAGAGATTTCTCTTAGCGACGCGTTGCGCATGACTACCCTTGTGATTCATTTTCGAATTTACAACAAAAATGGCAAAAATGATATTTTTGCTTGTAAACCACATATGATACACTCAAGTATGAGTATAAGAGACGTATAACCGGCCCCATTGCCTCATCGCTTCCGGGCCCCGCATATGCCTTTATTTATTAGTTAAACAAATGGCAAGCGCAATTATTCTGTTATACTAAATAATTTAATGTGTTTACAAAATCCATTAGAGTTTGATTAGTATGCTGTTTTTACTATTTTTGGGTTTTCTTGATTTATTGAGTGCTAGTTTATGTTTTAAATATCAAATGTTTATTATTGGTCTCGTTTGGATTTAAATTAAACTTTGTTTTGTTGGGGCTGTTCTTTAAGTTACTGGGTTTCATGCCTTACACATTTGTTGTTGACAGATTTATTGTCCTACTTAGCTTTGGTGTATGACCGCGATAGGTTCGAATGGAAAGTTTTGTTTTTTTTGTTGTTTGTCTTTTTTCTTTATTATTTTATGGTGTTTGGTTGGTATTGTCTTTCTAATGTTTCTAATTTTACTGATGTTTATTGTTTTTTTTTAGTTTAGTTTTAGCAGTGTGCCTCTCTTAGGGTTTTAAGGTTATCTGTCGTGTTTAATTTTGCAAATTATGTGTTAGGTCATGCATATGGTTGAGAATACTTATCAATTTTTTGCTGATGGCCTCTTCCCCTCTTGTTTGACGTCTTTTGTTTGTCTAGTGAAAAGCGACCAATGACAGGTGGTAGGACCGCCCAGAAGCTAACACTCTTTATTGACCGTTACGCTATATTAGTTTGCACATTATAAAAATTGCTTGCTTTTGTCTTCTTTTGTTTGTCCAGTGAAAAGCGAGAAGCTCACTTGTCACTTAACTCCTTCTTATCACTTAACTATTAACTCATTCTTGACCGTAGAGTAGTCTATACTCACTGTAGTTGTTACACTATAATTTTTTTGCACGACGTTATGATAAGTACAAAGTCAATACAATTGAAAAATATAATTTTTGATAATTTTGCAATTTTTGTTGTAAATTCGAAAATAAACGGTTTTTTAAGTCTAAATATTTTAAAATAGGTTTTCGTTAGATTTGCTTCTTGACCTTTTTAAATAAATTAGTCAAACAGCCTTGGAGATAAATTAAAATCTGCGCAATATTCAATTATTTAAGAAAAAGTAAGAATTGTATATATCCCGTGTATTGGTGTTGATAATTCAGTTTAAATGAAATCAAAAACAATTGATTTTTTTAATTTTATAAAAAAAAAAGAAAATTGTCTTTAAGCAACAAATTCTTTGGCTGACCTCTTTTTTCCGCATTTTTGGGTGCTCTGAACACGAAAAAAATATCCGAGCTCTGTTACTAGTTTTTTTTTTTTAATTTTATTATTCTTTTAAATGTATAGGTATATGTTTAACAGTTTAAAGAAACCCCCCATGAGAAAATACGCACGGCCCTGCTATATACAAAATTATTTTAGTTGGTTGTAAATACATGGTTATTTCTTAGTTTCTAGTTATTTTGCTTCTAATAAACGATATTAATAATTTATTACAACAATTTTAACAAATATATACATTATTAATTTGTAAAAATAATTAAATAATTATTTTGTTTATAATTAAATATTAATGAAGCGTATTTATTTTATAAAAATTAGATTCAATAGTTTAACAGTAAAATTTTAAGGTTTTAAATTTACCTGCCTAATTACAATATATTTTGATATTTATAGTACCCAAATACCATTATTTAATAAAAAATTAAAAAAATGTATAAACAACTTTAAAAAAATGCAAATTAAATTTGTAAAAATGAGTGTTAGCCTGATAAAAAAATACAAATCATTTTTCTGATGAGTAGTTTAAAAATTTAATTTTTAAACTCACCCTTCTATCGCCTGATATAGCTATATAATTATTTTAATATAATAGGGCGCAATTAAAGGAACAACATTAAAATTGGCAGACACTTTGTAGAAAAAATAGGGTTAAGAAATGTCAACATTGTTTACTTGTCTGGTGACATATTACTTAATATAATAACTTTTTTAAACTCTTTTAAAGGAATTTTGCAGACCCAAAGCAGAAACCCCAAATGAAGGCTTCATCGTCCCAAATTTGGAATTACCGCCATTATGTTCACCAAAATTTAAACCAGGGCCACCAAGTGACCAGGCACAAGTTTTATCACAATTAATAGCAGATATAATTAAAAATTCGAATTGTGTGGATTTAAAAGATTTGTGCCTTCATCCAGACAAATTAGCATGGTGTTTATTTATTGATTTTATTTGCCTTGATTTTGATGGTGCAATAATAGATGCGTGTATTATAGCTTTGATGGGTGCCTTGAAAACAGGTAATATGTTTTTTTTAATTTTATTTTAAGTAAATGTATACATATTTTCCTAATACCATGGACAAAAAAATCTAATTTTTAGTAATTAATAGATAATTTTAACAAGACGATCAAGTTTTGACCATAATTTAAAATCAGCTAGTTTTATATTTGTTAATATTATTTATTGTCAGTGTTTGTTTTAAGCCTTTTATTTTATTTATATGAGCTTATATTTTTTGTGTTCATACGATTTTTTATAAACATATCAATGGGTTGGTTCTAAATTTGTCAATTTTGATGTCAGTCTCAAAATAATATTGTCACCCATAATATAACAAGTGGTATGATTATCATCGATGATATTTTCGAATTGAAACCATGCTATGCTCACTCCCCCCTTCCTTTTCAGACCTTAAAATTAGTTGCGGATACGATCGACTATAGCGCTGAAGCAGCAGAATTTAAATAACACGCTTTTTTAGGTGGCATCTTTGTCAATTTGACAATTTGTCAATTTTTCGTTTAAACTTTAGAGACCCCATTATTGTTGTGTTCATAGATGACCGAAGGTTTTGTTCCAGCTTTGTTCTAGACAAAGTTTTCCTTTTGTGCGATTTTGTTAGTTTGACTTTTTTACAATGGTGTTTAAATGTGCTGTTGTTAATTGTAGAAATACAAGTAACGAGGCAGTATTACACTCGTTTCCTAAGGATCCTGACGTAAGTTAGTTAACTTTAGAAATAACCAATACAATATATAAAAAAATGCCTTATAAATAGGTAAAAAATGAGTCCAAGAAGAAGAAGGAGGCTATTAAAAATTTAAAAAAAGATTGTTAACTAAATTAGTAATTTTTTTTGGTTTAGACATCAATGCTTATTTGCTTTGTTTTATAATTGTAAACTTTATTTTTATATTATTATATTTGCTTTATTTTATACTTGTAAACTTTATTTTTATATACTTCATTAAAAAAATATCTAAAATCATAATTTGTTTGTTTTATTACATTTTCCTAATTCAAGGATTTTTCAAAGTCATTATTAATTAATACAGTTATTGTATATCGCCTCCTGTAATCGACAATGTTACATTTAGTGATTAATATGAGAACTTTTAAATTGCCTTAAATTTTGTAATTGTAAACTGTGAGAAGTTTGTTTAAAATACAAATCTGATTAGTATGAAACTTACCAATAAGTATTTCTATTGGATTTGATAGAATTCATTATAAAATGCAAACATCTTAAGAGAAAACCAACATAAACATGAAAACTTCAAGCCTTAGTAATATTATATTAAATTTTGTTTTCTTTTAAAATGGGTGAATTTTATAATAAAGCTTACCAAATCTTATTGAACATCTGAAAATACAACATATTTAAATTGTTTGTTTAAAATTTCTAGGCAATGGTTTTAATATTAAATTTTTTTTATAAAGACTCACAATATAATAATTAATTTCTGAAAGTCTTTAATAAAAATTAACCGATTTAAATATATTTGTTAGTCAGTTTCATTCGAGCCAGATTTGTATTTAAAACAAAATTTTTACGGTTTACAATTTTAAATTTCAAGGAGATTTAAGTTAGTACAGATATCACACACTAGATGTCGCACTGTAGATTCCAGGCGGTTTAAACTGTCCTTGGGCAATAGATGTCGCTATCTAGAAAGGATTGCTTGAAGCGCCACGGGCGGTGATATCCGCTGTTAAATTGACTTTGTTTCGATTTTCTAACGAGAGTCGGCTATCTATACCTTCGGTCATCTATGATTGAAACCGAGCTGCAGATTTCACGAGTCCGCAGGACGAGTGAAATGTGCTGCTTCGGTTTTAATGAGTAAATATCATCGATAATTAATCATACCACGAGTTATATTTAGTGAGAAAATATAATGAATTTTAGGATTTAACGAATTTTTAGTTTGACATTTGAAATTAAAATGTGCTTTAAAATATAAAAAGACTTTAATAAACCTTATTTATTCAAACTTACCTTAATTTCATTATCGTACACCAACCCATCGATCTTTTAGAGTTTATAATTCATTATTTTATTGAAATATATCAAAAACAGAATTTAAATGACAACAAATGTCAAATCAAAAAAACGTCAAAATTCATAGTAACGTGTAAACAAGATGATAAAAATTATTGCCGCTGTGATAAAATACGTCACTATGGAATACTGGCATTTTATTGGTTCTAATATTAATGAATTGTATTGTCTTTAAATTTTTATGGTACTATCGCTAACAAAAAAAACTCATACAGCTTAAAAATCTAGTGTTCCTGATTTTCTATCATTTTGTTGGAGTAATTATGGCTTTTAACATGATACGTCACATTTGAAAGGTGTAAAATTAAATAGGTACAAAGTTAGGTTGAAGTTTGAAAAAAAAATATTTCGTCATCTCTCTGTTTTTCTCAATTACTGCCCGCAAACAGCAAAGCATGGAAGTCGCCGTCTTGCTTTATCTTTTCCAAATGGCTTCAATGGCTTGCCAGAGTTCGTCTGCATTGTTTGGTTGAAAATGTTAAAAAAGTCATAATGGATGTGACAAAGCTCGATGTCAGCTTGATTTTGACGGATAAGTTTTATTCACACAGCCACAATATAGCTGTATGAGTTTTTTTTGTTAGCGATAGTAACTCACACACCCTTTACATAAGAACATAATAAATTGATTTTACCGATCAAGGCTTACCGTATGTCCATTTTTCGCATTCCTTCACCGGCGATGGGGATAGTCGAAGTTTATTCTGAATTATTAATACCAATTACGCATTATTAAGTTAATTTAATTTTAAAAATGATTCATATACTTAAAATGTAACGTACCTAATCACTTTTAACAGAAAATTATTAGGTAAAGGTGTAAAATCATTATTTGTTTTGCATTTATAGTCCAGGAAACAAAGGTTGTAGAAGGAAAACTCGATGGTAGTCGGGTTTTATTTTTTTTTATGTAGAGTCAGGGGTGCTGATAATGAATCAAGAATATTCCCTAAAAATTTCTTTCCGCGTCCCCTAATTTCATCCCCCGAAATTGGAGTTTTTTTTGCTTTTTGGCTCATAACTCGCTAACCGTGCATTTTTTCAGAATTTTACCTCCAATACTTTTGATTATGTACTAAATAAGGCACACGTTAAACCCCATTGCGCACCTATATGATGTGCCATTTTGCTATGCGCAGTGTGCAAAGTTGAGCGTTGCTTTCAAAATCACTTTTTTGTTTTTTTTATTATAGCCCAATTTTAAAAGTAATCGATCCCCAACCTTACGGTAATCAAACATAACCGAATGGACGATTTTTTGAGGTACTAGACTTTTTTCAAAAGTTACTGCTTTTCAATGTACAGGGGGTTCTTTTTTTTAAAATCCCATTTTTTATTTCCCAAACGGCTTTAATGAACCAGTTCGTTCCACCCTAGATTTTTAGGTACACTTATCCTCGTAACGAATCCGTAGGTTTTTTTTAATTATTTTCATTACAAGTGCCCCACAAAAATTAAAGTTTTGAAAAAAGAACCCCCTGTACATTGAAAAGAAGTAACTTTTTAAAAAAGTCTAGTACCTCAAAAAATCGTCCATTCGGTTATGTTTGATTACCGTAAGGTTTGGGATGGATTACTTTTAAAATTGGGCTATAAAAAAAGTGATTTTAAAGTAACGCTCAACTTTGCACACTGCGCATAGCAAAATGGCACATCATATAGGTGCGCAATGGGGTTTAACGTGTGCCTTATTTAGTACATAATCAAACGTATTGGAAGTCAAATTCTGAAAAAATGCACGGTTAGCGAATTATGAGCCAAAAAGCAAAAAAACTCCACTTTCGGGGGATGAAATTAGGGGACGCGGAAAGAAATTTTTGGGGAATATTCTTGATTCATTATCAGCACCCCTGACTACATAAAAAAATAAAACCCGACTACCATCGAGTTTTCCTTCTACAATCTTTGTATCCTGGACTATTAACTAAAAGTGTTTTCTTATAAAAAAACCTTTTTCTATGAAAAAACGTTTAATGTATGAGTATGAGTATGAGTATGGGAACGTATGGCAGGCCCCAGATATATTATCATCCACTGATCTCCCGGGGTTATTTTACCCCCTTTCCGTTCTCCTGCGTATCCCGCCAAATCACAGCATTACCTGTGTTTGTTGGATCCGAAGTTTTTACGCCGGCTGGTAGATCCACCCTGAGAGTTCGTGGATGACAGTGTCAAAGGTTAAGGCCGCTCCCGGGATTTTTGTCAGCCGGGTCGGGCCATACGTCCAGTTTAGGAAGGGTTTTTGGAGGACATTGAACTGACCCAAAACTAAGTACAATCCGGAATCCTCCTGAACCTAGGCCTTAGTAGTAACCCCATTCAATTGGTATTCGTGAATGGGGGTGGGTATGTTAGTTTTTTTGCTTACTCCGGCTACCAACCTTGTATATTCTTTATTTATTTTATTGCTAAATTAGTGTTTATACCGTTTTCGTTTAATTTATGTCTTTGCATTCTTACTTTTTTTTTTTAAATTAATTTAAAAATATAAATATTAATATTAATATACAAAATAGATAACCGGCCCTGTAGTGTTTGTGGTGGAATGCCACCAAATGGTCTGCATTGACTATTGATAGGATCATTCTTCTTTTCTTCTGTGCTGTTCTTCTCTTTTGAGCCGGGGTGTCAGTACGCTGCCCTTGTTGGTGAGCTATTTATTTTGTTGTTAAATTAGTGATTATACCGTTTATTATTATTTATTTTGTATCTTTGCATTCTTACTTTATTCCAAATCCAACCTAAAAATTAATTCACGAAGTAGATAGAGCCGGCCCTGTGGTGTATCGTATTAATTTTTGAAGTACGGTCTTAGTCAGGCGTGTAACGTATGCTTTAGTAGATGGTTTATTTACGTTATTGGCTATTGAGTTCTTATCATCTTTGGGTTTGATTTATGGCTGTGACCCTAAATGCATATACAATATTACTTATTCAAACACAACACTTTTTTTT